AAGTATTACGCTTACTCATATTACCTACTAAGCTTGGACTATTTATTTTTATAACAATTGTGATATTACTTTCCTAACTATGTTTATCCTAACCCACCCTGTCAACTTTCCCTGTGGGAGGAAACCGGAGCGCCCGGAGAAATCCCACGACTTTCGGCAGAGCGTTGACAGACCCTTTTCACATGAGTCCGTAGCGAGACTCGAACCTACGATTCCAGAGGTGAAAGGTGATTCCTCTGATGACGCGCGACTGCACCACCGAAGCCCATAGCGTGGGGTGGACTTGATTAAATTCCCTGACTGAAGTCAAGTTAAGCTATTGACTCGAATCGTCTTAAACTAGCGATAATATCTCGACTCGAGTGAAGCCACTGACTCGACTGGATTAGAAACTGAAATGACTCGACTCGTGACTCGACCTTTGAGCGACTCGACCTGTTGGTGACTCGTTACAACACTGACTTGTAGTTTTAAAAACATAAAAAGACTTAAATTAGTTTGAACAAAAACGAAACCCGATGAAGAATGAACTTTAAATTTGTAATTTTATGAGATATTAGGAATTAAACAGCGAGGCTCAGAGCATGCAAAAACGTTTCAAGCGTAAATTAGACTATGTGCACACGGTAACGTTTTCGAGCGTTTTCAGCTGTAACGTTTTCAGAAAGTGTCGTTTTCAAGCCGTGTCCACACGAAAGCGGATGAAAACGTCATCTTATGACGAAAACGTTCTCAATGCTAAAAACGTTTTCGGACAAGCGTTTTCACGTTGAAACGCTAAAAATCCAAGATGGCGGCTTAAAATCAAAATGTTATATTTTTGTTTCCTGGAAGCTTAAGATCTTTCATTGGATCATTAATTCTTAAGTTAAAAACTTTAGCAACAAATAAAACAAAATATGTAGCCTTTCAAATGTGTAATGATTTATGAACGATTTAAAATGCGGTTTGCTTTCGAAGAAGCGACAGACTTCGTATCGGTGATGCTAAACAGTACATATAAAACTGTTTACTTTATGATAATGAGCAGAGGACATTTTAAGAAACTCGTTGACAAGTAATGACTTTATCTGGTGGAAAATGAATGGTAATAACAAGCCGCTAGAGATGGAATTTTTATCGAGACAAACATTTGCATCTCGTGAAAACGTTTCCGTGTGGACAGAGCGTCAAACTGACAAAATTGGAAACGACGTTTTAGAAACGCTCGGAAACGTTACCGTGTGCACATAGTCATATGCTTACGCAAAATTCCTACAAGGCTACACGATCTTCACTGTTTTTGTATTTGCTTCTGTGCCCTCAAAATCTTACTTAATATTTCAAAATCTATCCTCTGTAACTGCAAATAAGACAGAAAAACATAATACAAAACATACAAAACATAATAGTTTGTAATTATCTCTCCTAGTCAAATTAAATATGGCGGATTTGAAAGGGCACGCATGAACGAATGTCGAGACATGATTCGTGATCAAGTACTCATGTTTTATATCTATTATTTCTGTCGTTTGCTGGCAAGAAGCAGCATCGTAGTCAGAAATAGTGCCATTTTTACCACTCCCTGTCCACAGTCGTTGACGGGATAATGGCCATAGATGATTATCATTGAATTACAGGTACTATAGTTGTTTGCATTTACTTGATTTTAAATTAGAATTCATTTAAGTTCCAACTGGACGCGTTTGTAAGAAAAATAAGAGTTAATTAAAATACAGTACATTTGTTTGCCAGCATAATTTAGTACTAAGCGGAATTAGCTACAATTACCAAATTTTTAGTTGCCTACAGCAGTTGCGAGAAGTAGAAAATTGGAGTACAGCAACAAAAAACGTCGGGGTCGGCCTCTATACACTGTATAATTATTGATAATCATATATCAGTAATTCAATAATTATACAATTATTGAATTATTAAATTATTGAATAAGGAACGATCACAAAGCGTTTGAACGACCGTTTACGTGCTTAACGTCTGTTCATATTCTTTGAATTATTATCCACATAATTTCTGTGCAGAAGACAATTGTTTTACACCAGTTAGAATTAAACAATCTCAGCGTTTCACGCGCAAACAAGTCCATTAAGAAAATGAATGGTGAGATAAGAATCGATGTGAATAGGGACTAAAATATAAAATATATATACAAACGCCAATAGACACTTCATGAATTCACTGGCTGGAAATGAAAACTACTTATTTATACTATGGATTACACAATGCCTCGATTTCAAACTGTTGTTTCGTATACACTCAAGCAACTTCGGAAAGTGTCTATTGCCATATTGGATATACAGTGTTCATTGTTTTTGTAACCCGTATAGTTATTTTTGAGAGCACCGGTGGCAAATGTTATTAAAGGTCGTGGGTAGAATATTAACACGTCTAGTTACCTGGGTGCATGCGCTCTTCTCGAAAATGTGTGTTTCTACACAGTTGTAATTTGCTTTCCACTGATCTGAAAACTAGGATTGAATGGAATCTTGTTTAGAATTCAATCCGCTAATTTTGAAGCCAGAATATTCATGAGATGAGATTTCAAAATCTGTCAAAATCTCTGCAAATCGAATCACGACGTGTTTAAATTAGCTATATTATCAAGCAAATGTATTTTCCTATATGTAACTTAAAAGATATACCTTCTCGCATCTCTTCTAATAAGTTTTAGAACGTTTTAAACCCAGATAATGAGACTGGTAGAACTCACCTTGGTGTGACCTCATTAGTTATTCACGGGCAAATTAAAGGCCACTGTTGATAAATTTCTAATTAGACAATGTTTATCCTTAATTCCCATTGATAACCAGAAACTGTAAGAACCTCATCTATTATGTCGCCAACACCACAGTAACCTTGTAGTGGTCACGCCAATATGGTCGCCATTGTCTTCATTCATGCATAACGGATGCACTATCCAGTGCTAGTATTTGGAACAGTGTTGCTCTCTCATTCCCTGCATCACAAAAAACCTTATAGTTGTTAAGGCATTGTCCTGATGGTGCTATCCGCCAATCGCTTTACCAAATGAAACTATCGATAGCTAGATTGTTTATAATTACAGTAATTTTTTTCATAATGCAGTGATGATTTAATTCGGTATCATACATATAATCGGCCAAAGAAAACAAAATTTCTATATAATAACTATCTACAATTACAACGCATTTAAAACTAAGGATTTATCTATATATTGAATGCTAGGTTTAGTCTCAAGTGCACCTGCAATGTCCATTTGTAATTAAAAAACAATATTAAAAACCATCGTGGTTTGTGTATCGTCTGGATAATGCAGGACTGCATGTTAATTATGTAAAGTAGCATTTCAATAATGTATTTTTAGATGACTTATTTGATTTTCCCGGCAATGATTGTTAAAAATTGCAGTAATTTATGGAATTACTTTATCTTACAGTGTCGTTTCCTGCCTAGTTTGAGATATTTTCTCTGCAGCTTGGGATGTAAGTTTCGAAAAAACTTACTATTCAACAAATAAAAAATTCTTAAGTAAAGATAAAAAACCCATATAGTTCTCCAGTTTGTCCAGTATTTCCTCCGGCGTCCAGCATCGTTCAGATGAGAGCAGTGCTTCAGACCATGAATTCATTACAACTCTTATGCTGAACTAAAAGAAAGAAATATCAATTTCTCATTTGCATAAGCACATTATAAATACAGTACTTTGTTTCCCAAGGCGCCCCGTTTTGATTAGCATTGACGTCAAACCAATTCTCAAAGTTCTTGGCTCACAGGCAAAGGTGTTCCTAAGGTAATTACCAAAAAGGCCGCAGCAACTTCATCATCGCACATCACGAACGTATTAAGTCATGTGAGGTAGTTTTATTGCCGTCAATTGAGCAAGCACGTGTTCCTAATTCTTGTCCGACATAATTGTTGTTTTGGCTCCAAATCATTTAAGAATGCGACTTCGTTTATACTTTTGTGAAATTGACATTATAAAGAGCTTAAGATTTGACGACGCGCCTCGCGACGCGGACGTTTTGGCTGGTGCAGATTGGGTAACAGTACGGTGGCGTCATGGCAACAAAAAATGATTAAGATATAACAAAACTCAAAACAACGCGAGCAAAATTTAAAGTTTGTTCATTCACTGCAACCAGGTATATCAATCATGTTTCGCTCGCTATTCTGGTTTAAATAAATGATTACAAAGCCCAGTCGAATTGTAATCAAGAACATACATCTTCTGCTAAAGCTGATCGATTTTCCCTTGTCTAAAGTTAAAACAGCCTTTTGACGTTCTTTCAGCCGTGTACCAAACTGGCGTTTAGACTGACCCAAATACTCTTTCTCGCAGTCACCGCATGGTATAGAATATACAGCATCATGAGTTTTCCGATTTGTTTTAACAGGATCTTTTGGCTTTTCAAAAATATGGCCTAAAGTCAAATAGGGTTTTAAGGCAACCTTACAATTACTTAAGATTTATATTACAATTACTCAAGATTCTCTTGATTGGTTCTGTGACGCCTTGAATGTATGGAACTATTGCATAACCCTTAACAGAGGTATCACCCTCGGAGTTACTTTGGTTCCTACAAACAGGTGATCTCAGGCAATAATTAAGGAAACGTTTTGGGTTATCGTTTTCCCCTAAAACATTTAGAACACATTCACGTTCATTAACTTGAGAATCACTGTTTGACGGCAAGGATTCAGCTCTTAGAAGCAAAGTTTTTGCTACGGATCTTTTATGGCTTACTGGATAGTGAGAGTCGTATGACAAATATTTGTCTGTGTCTGTGGGTTTGCGATAAACATCAGTCTCTAACTTCCCTTCGACAGTTCTGTGCACGTTCAAATCTAAAAAAGCTAAATTCCATTTGTCTCACGTTCTACTGTGAATTGGATAGACGGCTCAATAGAATTTAAATGTTGCAGCAAAATATCGATTTCATTTCTAGAAACCGCAGAAATGACATCATCGACGAAACGTTTCCAAAACGATAGAGATACCAGAACAGAGGCTAAAGCTCTTTGTTCGACATCTTCCATTACTAAATTTAGCAATTACTGCCGATACTGGTGACCCCATCGTTGTTCCAAAAACCTGTTGATAATAACAGCCCTCAAACACAAAGTATGTGGTGTTGAGACAAAAAGACACAAGATCAATAATATCTTCTACAGGCAGGTAACGTCATCCCTTGAGTATTAAGAAGCCACGATTGCAACTTTAGATCACCCCTAATGAAGACACTATAGGCTGGAGTGTCGAAACGTTGGGTCTTGATTACAATTCGACTGGGCTTTGTAATCATTTATTTAAACCGGAGTAGCGAGCGACATTGGTCATTGGCAACATTATACTTTTACAATATCGTTCATACTTCATAATTGAGTATGACCTCTTTCAAAAAAGCTAGAGACCTTCTTGCAGTCGCATTTCATGCGGGGTATATGGATGAAGAAGAGTTTTTATTGTTGTGGACTGCGAGCAAGTATAAAAATCCCGACTTTCCTGTGGAGTGTTACACATTCTTTAACATGGACGAAAAACATCCTAGCGAAGTTAATTATAAAGCTGAATTCCGCTACGAAAAGAAAGATATTCCTTATATGGCTGAGGTGCTTAGAATTCCCTACGAGTTTAAATGTCGTCAAGGTACAGTTTGCGATGGTATGACAGGTTTGTGTATCGTATTAAAGAGACTTACACATCCTTGTCATTTTGGGGACATGATTTCTTCCTTTTGGTTATCCGTTCCTGAGCTGTGTATGATTTATAACACTGCCATCGATCGTATTTTTAACGAACATAGTGATCTGGTTAGCCAGTGGAATAACACATTTCTCGGTGCTGAAAAACTACAAAATTACGTTCTTGATTCAGTGGCTGCTAAAGGAGCCGCTTTGAGAAATTGTTTTGGATTTGTACATGGGACAGTACGTCCTATTTGTCGTCCAGTCAATAACCAGAAGGTGTATAATGGGCATAAGAGAGTACACAGGATAAAATTTCAGTCTGTCGTCTTGCAGAATGGCATGATTGCAAACCTGTATGGACCAACAGGTAGTGTACATTGTTTTCATATTTGTAGTTATATTACTTTTACTGTATTAAGTCAATCATTTCTCATGTAAGAAAAACATTCCACTATAAACATTTTATTTTGTGTTCATTGTAGAAGAATGAAGGCATGACTCCGGAATGCTGGCAGACTCTGTGCATATATGGGGATCCAGCATATCCTTTAACAACCCATCTACAAGCGCCATTCAGACAAGTCCCGATCACAGCAGAAACGGGAGCATTTAACAAAAGTATGAGCAATGTGCGTGTAGCTGTGGAATGAGTGTTTGGTGATATTATTAATTATTTCAAATTTATGGATTTGTAAAAAAGTCTCAAGATTGGCCTTAGCCAAGAAGGCAAGAAGTATTTTGTATCTGCCCTAATGAGGAATGGATTAACATGCCTTTATGGCAACACAACGTCAATGCACTTTGGCATGAAGCCTCCATGTCTGCAAGAATCTTTCTTTTAACTAGAAGGTATACATTAATGAAGGGGAAGGATAAATCTATACAAAGATTTTTATTTAATGGGTTTTCTTTTGTGCCTTTATTGTTGCATAGAAAAACATTGATTTAAAAAAAAATTGTTAACATTTGTATTTAAGAGCTTTGCCTACATTATTCAACATGCACAGGCCAACTAAATTACAGTACTCTCACCTCCGAAACACTTGGAAGCATGCGGCGATTTTAACATATCTCAATTTGTAACAGTAAGGCCTTAACATTTCACTTGCTTTCCAAACTATAGCATACAATCGTGTGCTCTGATCAGCCATTTCTTATATTATATACCGTACTCTTAATCGTTAACAGACAAGCAAGTTTTCTATGGCAAGTATTTATATGGCAAGTTTTCAGTGGCGGTGCCAAGGGGGGGGGGGGGG